AATTCTGCCAACTATTCTAAAATTAAATCCCTAGAAAGGTCTCCACAAACAGCCGAAACAGCGACATCGTTCAAAACCCGTGTCTTAGCTCATAAACTGAAAAATCACCCATTAAAAAATAAAAGAAGAAATTGCATATGCGCTGCAAAGGATATGTGCCAACTGACCCTGGTGCCGGTGGCGTGCGCTTCGACGTAGGCCAGGCTGCCCGGGTCCACGCCGGCGTCTCGGCACGTGTCGCGCATCAGCTCGGCCTGCGCCTGCCCCGAGGGGTACGTGATGCCCTGCTCCTTGTAGCCGTCGCAGTTGACGGCCGCGTTCACCACAGTGGCGTACACGCGGCGGGCGTCCTTGGCGCGCTGCAGGAACACTGCGGCGATCGCCTCCGAACGCGTGTACCCGTTTGCTGCGCACACACCACAGCGTTAAAGAGAAGCAAATTAGGGCATAGCCGCCACGGTGGACAATAAGAACAGAATGAAACTGTTAATTTGGAATAAAAAAATCTTTATATTATAAAACGAGTGGTGCTCCTAAAGCACATACTTTCTCATATTATTTTTAAATTTCCAATTTTCAAAAATTCTGAAATTTCAACGAAAATGAGACCACGCCATTTTTTTATTCACATATGATTTTTTTAATTCCCTGTATTTCGCAATATATCACAAGACAACTATTTATATTTTCGGAATATTTAAACACGAACATTTTTAAAGATCCGTCTTTAAAAAACAGATCTCATTAAGAAAAAGCATTATCTTTAATATTACAGTTGTAGGAAGCCTCCCCCAAAAAATGTACTTTTGCAATTTTAAAAAAATGTGATTTCAATGAACATTAGATCTGACTCATTCTCTTAAGCGTTCTTTACGCTATCCGAAGACAAAATTTGATCAAAACTTCGGAGTCATTTTTGAGAACATTTTGAAAATGTTTTAAAGGAATCATGTAAAATGCTAAAAATGTAATATCCATTTGAAACTCTAAAAGCCTGGAGTATGTTTAGATCAAATGAAGTCGTAGGCTTCCGCGGCCAGAGTCATGTGGGTGATCTGGGCTGTCCGGGTGATGCCGCGTCGAAGGCTGAGTTGCCGACGTTTCGACCATCCTGTCGTGGTCTTCCTATGGTTTATGTTTAGATCAATCGAGAAATATCAATTTTAAAGAAAATCGACTGAACGGTGTAAGCGCTAGTATTGGCCACAAAAGGACGGACACACAGACGAAAGATAGATGGACAGGGAGACGTTTTACCGTCAATTAATTTTTAGGTATCAAGGACCCACAAAACATTGATTCTGGCTACACCACTATTAGAGGAAGTAATTTACGAGATAATATATTGTAAATTAGAGAAAATATTATTATAGCAACTATATTATAACAAAAGGATTTATCTACTTTTTAGTTACCACGGTCCAGCAATAAGGGATTTTCTCCCGAAAATTGCTGTTTTCCTTTGCACGATTACAAAACTTTCTATTCCTACGAAATAAGGGCGAAAAAGTAAAAGAAATAAAAAATTGCTACAGATTTTTTTTTATTTAAAGTTTGTTCATCGATAGAGCAAAGGACAATCAAAAATGTGCCAGATCCAATTTTCTTTGAACTCTCTGATTTTTCGAAAATCCAGAAACTGGAAATAATGCAAAAACGTTTGTGGTAAAGTACTTCTATTAGTTTGTTTAAATATAACTCAATGATGCCTTATTTTACGTGGGTATTGTCAGGCCCGCTCTTCTGCCTAACCACGCAAATTCCGCTATTCCCCTATCGCCATCTAGCAGAGAAAGGAATCCTCTATCGCCATCGAGCGATGAAACAGGAGATTTGAATTTAGTTCAGAAGTTTCATTGAGACTTAAGTAGCTTTATATGTAAATCTATGGCATTGAACTGTTTGTTTTATTTCCCTTCCGAAGGATGGCCTACAAAAGGCCTTTTAGTCTTCTAAATAAAACTACTAGATTTTTTTCAAAAATTATATAAACATTTTTAAGATCTGATTTTTAAAAGATTTCATTACATTCATTTCATTTTTAAAAGATTTTAAGAGATTTAATTTACGACAAAATCTCTATCTTCAATATTATATATTTGGAATGTTAATGTGTAGGATTTCTTTAAAAAATGCAATGTTCGGAAGATTACGAAAAAGGAATCAGCACCAACATTTTACCGCTCTTTAATACACAACAAGTAAAACTTTAAGGAAAATAAGTGGAAGCTTTTAAAAAAAAGTTTAAAAAATTCCTATATTTCACGTAAATATTTTGAAAAGTCTCATATTTTTGAAAAACCTGTACATGACCTAATTTCAAGATATCCCTTGGAACACCGGATTTCATGAAAAAATACCTACCTTCAATATTGTAGTTGTAGGAAGATTCCGACAAAAATTTAAACTTCTAAAATTTTGATTTCTTCATATGAGATAGGCGTCTTGTATAATACGTTTTTAAACTATTAGTCAATAATATTCAAGAAGCAAAAAATTTGGAGTCTTTTTGCGCAAATTTTGAAAATGTAGAGACTTCTTGTAGAATTTCACCAAAATTCAAATATCTTTTCCAAACTGACAGGGCCTCAATTCTTTTTGATCGATTGGGGATTATGAATTTTGGAGAAAAATGTCTGATCGGTTTAGTCCTTAAGAGTGGATCACAAACTGAGAGACGTTTTGCCTTCAATCGATTTTTCGGTATCCCACATTCAAAACGATAAGATTCTGACTGCACAGTCTGTTATAGAAAGTAATTTACTGCATGTATTAACAAGATTTAAACACTTTTTCGTTACCTGGGCCCCGCAATAATTTTTTTGTCTGAAAAATAGCCTATTTACGGCGCAGAACTACAAAACTTTCTCTTTTTACGAAGCAAGGACGGGAAGTAAAAATTGAGTGGATATGTACTCAAAGATGCCAAATGTATTAGGAAGTAAACAATCCTCTCCATAACACCATAATAACTACTTTACAAAAATACGATTGAAGACATTTTCTAAATTTTACGTCTTGTAGATAATATCAATCTTTTAGTTCAAGATATTCGCTTCAGTGCGTCTTTTGAAAAATACATTATGAGCCTCGTATTTCATCAACATTTGATAACGCATTAATGAAACTAGTAGCCATGTTGTATTTGAGTATTTTTTAACGCTCGCTACACTTACGTTAATATTAACGAGCGAATCAGATTTGTTTGGTGCAGATATCACCTGGTTAGGCAAGATCAGAATTGAAATACGAACGTACCACAAAACAGAGAAAACAGTAATATATACGATTTACATAGAAACCTTCAAGTTTTATTCTAGATTCTGAATTTGTAGTAAAAACTGTCTTCTCTAATCCGAACTTGATAGCTGGCACTCGTTTCCCTTGCGTTTCACCCGTTAGGAACAATCATGTTACATTTCTCAACAAACTTCAATAAACAATACTATTTTTTCGTAGTATTTCTTTCGGTATATTTCGTAATAGTTCACCGAAAAGTAGTACTGCATTTTTTAAATTCTGAGGTGTGTTGATTTACATAACATATAATATTTTTTTTAGTATTAAACATCTTTTGAAAGTTCTTATTTATTTTTCTAGTTATAACAAAACAACATTGTCGCTTATGTAGTTGCTGTTTTCTTTCATTCAGGCATGCAAAAGTTGAGAACATTGAGAAGGCGCTGACCTAATAACAGCAGTTTCTTATTATTATGGACACACACTGTAAACATGCAATACATTTCCAACACCAACATTTCGAAAGTGTAGCATAAAACAGTTGAAAAGCTCTCACCATCGTCATCCATCGGGCGGCATATGCCCTCCTTGGACAGCACGCCCAGGCGCATGAACTGCAGCGACACGTAAGGGTGCAGCACGAGATTTGAGCCTCCCACCAGGGCGCACTCCACCTCCCCAGACCGAACGGCGTCGTAGGCCTCCTTCAGGGCGAACATGGAGGAGCTGCAAGCCGTGTCCACGGCGAAGCTAGGGCCTGCAAGGAGAACATCACGACACTTTCAGCTAGGAATGCCACCTTTCCAATCCACCCGTTTGTATTAAGAAGTGGCCCGCACTTTTCTTGCTTTTAGTAATGATTATGTAATATTATAAAACCTCACTTTCTGAGAATCACATCACAGTGATCATTTGTAAAACTCTTAACAAATCGTAAAACATAGGTGCAAAAATTAATACATTTAAAGTTAATATCAACACGAATTGGAAAGTGCAAAACATATTTCATACAACTAAAACATGTTCTGACAATGCTATAATATTGTTTTGTTGTTATTGCAACAAATAAATATTTTTCTTTTGCAATGTTAATTTTTTTGTTATTTGCCATTTTCGAGAACCCCGGAAAAATGACAAGCACCATTTGCTTTGTCGTTATTTCCAACATACATGGAAACAATTTAAAGAAAAAATTGACACTTTTTACAATATAATTGTTTCAATTCTTTAAAATTGTTCATGTTTCACGAAAAAATAACTCAAATTTTCAAACTATTAAACATATGATTGCTACAAAATCCATTTTTGATTCAGAGATGTCATTAAGAAAAGAATTATTTTCAATATTGTAGATAAAAATTCAATTTCAAAAATTTCAAAAATTCAGAGTTTTACGAAAATGCGCACACAGCTTTCTTTGCTGTATTTACCTACATACGAGGGACAAACGTGTGGAGCTGCTTTTGAAAACAATTTGAAAATGTTGAGACTTCCAGTAAAGTATCTCAAAAAATTAAAACCATTTTTAAACCTGCAGGAAAACGAAATCCTCCAATCGATCAGAGAAATATCAATTTGGGCGAAAATCGTCACAACGGTTCAGGCTCTATCGTGGAGCCTAGACGATCGGAACAGACAGTCAGACGTTTTGCCATCAATTTTTCGGTATTGCGGACCCGCGTAATGTGCATTCTGACTACACCAAGTGTGGACAGAATGGAAGTGAGGGCGTCAATCACCTCCGCAAACAAGATTAGTCATATAATATTGGGAAAAATATTCTTCAAAATCGGAGGACTTCAAGTCAGAGCAGAGTGACCACGGGATACTCGCCTCAAACAGCGTCTTTGCAAGCACCTGAGACGGAATTTCTGAAACTCACCTTTGACACCCAACCAATAGGAGATGCGATTGGCAAGCATAGCACGGCAGCAGCCGGTTATTCCAAATCCCGAGAGCTGGAGCTTCTCGTAGAACCACGTCTTCTCCGACTCGGAGAAGCACACGCCCACATACACGCCCATTTTCTTTCCTCGCAGGGATCTTGGGTTCACTCCTGTATGAAGGAAATCTCATTTATAGAAGGTGTCCTGTCTTAGGACTTGAGTCAAGGACTCAAGTCTCAAAGTCGGGTTAGTTACAGTATTTATTACTTAAGAACGGCTGAACCTATTTTAATTGTTTCTGATTTCTTGGATTTATCTTCACTCCGAACAGTAGAATAACTAGTAAAATATCGTAAAAATTCACGAAAAAAGAACAAAGAACAAAACTAAATATTTATGATAAATGCAATCCGAAACACACGACAAGATATTTTACCATATCGTTTATTAACTCCAAAACGAAGCGTTCTAGGGCATTACACACTAAAATTTTGATGCTATAGTCCTCAAAAAAACGTTTCTCACGAAATAATCTATAGGATAAGATTTTTTTGATCATTCTATTACATTTTTGCTGGTCCGGCACTTCTGAGACCCTTCTGGGAGAGACGAAGGGAGAGGGAGAGACGAGAGAGAGAGAGAGACAAGAGAGAGGCAGAGACAGAGAGAGATAGGAAGAGGGAAGGAGAATGAGAGAGAAGCAGGGCAGAGCAACGTCTGCCGGGTTCCGCTGGTTTTTCCATAAATCCTAAATACGAAAAACTTGTAGATCGAAAAAAATACTTTATTTGTAAAAGTTATTAAAAAGCAAGGTTATGAAACCAATTATTTGGTTGGTGACAAGACAGAAAAACAAAAGACAATTGGTCTCGTTGGTCTCGGAAATTAGCGCACAGCGTATCTTCTCGTGCTTCATGTCTTAACTTCCAGCACAATGAATCTGGCGTGATCAGTGCGGTGGCAAGACGATTACTATTGCAATCATTCATATTCAAAGGTAGTAGTCTCTAATGTTCCCTTCGCGATTATTTATGAGTGACGTCAATAATTAGAGCTACAAATAATGAGTAAAACGTAGAACATCCACGGAGTTGGGCTTACACTTATTACTCAATTTAGTGAACGGATTTCGAGTAAGGTTCTCAAATGCGCATAACATTTCACTGATATTTCGTGTATGAATAGTAGACCGCTTTGACTTTCAGAATACGTTGGAGAGCGATACCTCTCGAGTAAATGGAGCTTGTTAGGACGATGATATTGGATGTTCCCTGTATTACGCGTTTGCGAGGTTTATTGAACAAGAAATTCGCCGGCGGTGTTTTGCACATAAAACAGTCCTTCTGGAGGAGGCAAAGTGTCCCACCAGCGTCGACGATGGCCTCGTAAGCACGTTCCAGCAGCAGGCGACATTGCGGATCCATGGTGTGCGCCTGCTTGAAGTGGACGCTGAAGAAACTGGCGTCGAACTTCTCCAGCCCGTTGATCTTCCCGCTGCGCGGCGGAATCTCGGGGTGGTCTGCAACCGACAGCAACGCAGCGTTGCAGGAGGTCAACCCTCAGCAGCCTCTATCGCCCCAGGCTGCTCTCAGACTCAACCCTGGCTAGACCCCGCCTTATTGACGCCATGTCCCCGCCCCGCTCCCACACTCGTCTAAGCACCCACGTCAGCTCGCCCGTCCTCCCTCAACCTCCGCTTAAGTCAAGCCCCTGTCTCTGCCCCCGACTGCTCTCAGTCCACACTCTTTTCGGTCTACCCTGTTCCGCCTGTGCTGCGCAGAGAGCGCAGAGCGCACTCACCGATGCTCCAGCGGCGGTCGTCGGCCGTGAGGAGGTCTTCGCCGCGCAGCAGCGCTTCCCGCAGTGCCTGCACATCGTCGCATTCTGGGAAGCGGCCCGCAATCCCCGAGATCACCACCTGCGTGCGAAATGATATTTTTCCACGAGCTTCTCCCTTCTTCATACACATTTTACGATTTTTTTTAATTCTAGGGTAATGGTGCAAAGAAAATCATTTTTGAATACATATTTAGAACAATGAAGATAAACGGAGAAAATATAAACGTAAAAATTTTACAAAGTAAAATTAGATGGCTTGTAGTAACAACATTGTTTGGTGGACGTCTAATAAAATTTAATAAATATCTTTATATAAGCAATATATTTTAGCTCTTTATAAGCCAAATATTTTTGATGGTAGTGAAAAACACGTAAAACTGGTGATTTATAATTTCTACGTTGGAGGAGTATGGGAATTGTGAATTTTTGAATTAATAGAAAGTCAAATGTCCCCGAAGTCAGCTAATTATATTGTAATTCTTCAGGAAAATATATTCCTTAACACAATTTCACATGTGTATATTTCTAATATACCACTAAATTAAATCAAGCAATATACTCTACAGACTATCGACTCATATTTCTCTGTCACATAAGCGCTCCGCTAGGGTCCTAGCGTCTTAAATGGGACGTACTTCTTCACCATCCACTACCGATGATGGAGGAGACAAGCGCATTTCTGGTTCCGGCTGTCGCTGCTGCTGTTTCTGTTGGTGCCTCGTCTCGGCGATTGATTGTTCCATGGGATTCATATCTGCGGACAAGAGATCTTGATGAGCGGAAGCAATAAATCCCTATTGAAAGAGCGCACTATTGAGACGAAAGAGTTTATTCATCGTCCCGGTGAAACATTTATCGCCTTCTTATCACGAATCACCACCTACGTCTATTGGTTCGGCTTAAAACTCGTATTTAGTACACTGTTCACATAACTCGCAAACATAGAGCCACTCATTCTATAAAGATGTTCCAACTGCACAAATATTAAAGTTTTACAATATTTCGCAACATTCATTATAGTTCAAGAGCACCGTGAAAATACAGGGCTTAAAGTAATGTAGTAGGAAAATATAGACAATTTTCCATTCTAAATTAATATTTAATCTCTAGCACATATACTAAAATGTTACCTACATGAATTATGAACCTTCTTTGTTAAGAAAATAGTGCATGACTGTAGGAAAGTAATTATTTATAATAAATCAACTCGGGCAAACGTAAAAAAAACATTGAACATGATAATTTTTAATATAAACGCGATTGATTTATCAATATTCAACAAAAAATCGCCGGAGTAGAGGACTAAGCTGGACTTGCTGTTCGATGAAGCCGAACGTGAAAAGTGGCTGCAGAGTAAATCGAAGGCAGAAATATTCGGATTGTGACAATATGATTGCGATTAAAATAATATGATTCGCTACATAATTGCAGAGAATTACTGGGTAGTAGACCTGACTGAACCTTCTACCTAATGGTGCTGAAAGTGCAAAGGAGATAGCGGTGGCGGAGGTGAGCCACGACAGGGGGAGCGGCACCTGGCACCGTCTTTTAAGAGGCTCGCAACCGCAATCCCGGGCAGCGAGAAGAAAAGAAAGGAAGAGCGGCGTCTGTAGCGCCATGTGCCTTTTCCGCTTCCTGCCTCCCGGCACGTGAGTGGGCGGTGCGCCCCGCGACATTCAATGCGAAAGCGGCGAGCACCGTAGCGCGCCTTTCTTCCTCTCTTCCGCAAGCCCACGCCCCGCGGCCACACAAAGCCGAGCGGGTCAAACACACCTGCAGCACAATTGGGTAATTTTAATTTAAAAATAGTTTTCGGTCTAACACTACCTAAGGCGTTAGTTATTTGATACGCGCTAAGATCCTGTTATGGACGCGGGCGGAGAAAATTGTGTATACAGAATAAATTTAATTTTTACTTATTTCTGTCGTATGAACATATTGGTCATTCGTGGATTCAACATGAAACACTCTTTTATTACTGTGTAGTACGAGTAATTTATTTATATGTTTGTAATCAATTACCCCTCGATAAGTACTGTGCTAATTCGGGTGGGGGTTGCGGGACAAGCACCGGTATTTTTCCTTCCTTCAGTTTTATTTTCTATAAGCCTTACGACTTGTAAAAAAAATTCAAACAAGTTAGAAAGAAGATAACATTTTCGACAACTTTTGTTTAAGCTTTGTTTCGTTTACTAAACACCAACAAACCTTAGTCTTCCAAAACCTCACTATTTTTACTTTCCCGTATACGTACGTATAAGATGAGTAATATATACATACGAAGGGCATTCAAAAAGTTCCAGGAATGGGTTTGCGATTGCCAAACTAGCAATAATACAAGGTTCTCTTCAATTCTTGTAGTAGGCGACTGCGCCTGTTGGCACGCGGGAAAATTGATCTGAAGATGTCTCAGAGCGCAGTGGTTACACGTGTCACGTGTCACGTGGAGGTGAGTGTTAGTCCGTCGGCGTAAAGTCGAAGTTCGAACTTGAGGTCCTGCTATACTGTGGCCTGGACTGTGTGTTACTGAATATTTCTATGTGCAAGTTTTGCAGAGGTTCGGTGATGCGGTTCGAAGAACGCATAGAACCAATTAGAGAATGGTGTCTGCATCTCGATATCGCGCCAAGCCACACAGCGCTTGTTACACAGAAATTCATTGCCGAGAACATGCCTATCTTTCTTTAACTATCGTATATTTCGGTATATTTCGGATCTCGCTTCCCGATACTACTGGCTGTTCCTACTACGGAAATGGAACTCAGAGGGAGACCTTTTGCAACCATGGAACACATGAAATCGAAAGGGACGGCCCTCTTCCGACAGGCGCCAAAAGAAGCCTTCTACCGCTGATTCCAACAGTGGCAGGAACGATGAAGCTATTGCAAGGATGCGGAAGGGTCGTACTTAGAAGGTGATTAGGTTACCATTGCTATAGGTTATACAATTAACATGCTGATCCACCATTCCGGGAACTTTTTGAACGCCTCTCGTATATCAAAAACTCTGTTGTGTGCGTTTTAGGTGTATTTGTATGTGTTGAGTATCAGTGAATTCAATTTTCTTACATTATTTTTGCGTGTATTGTGACGAGAAGTGTGGACTAAATTTGGTTATGAAAGTTTGTTAATTTTTGCTATAATATTTTGTCTTTTTCCTTTTTTGAATTCTTTTTCACCAAGCACCAATGTATGAATACCACCAATATATTAATCAACTTCCATCCAATGTTTACGTGTGGCATTCAACTCATTTTGAGGAAATACACCTTTGTACATTATACAATGCAGCCAGATTGTTTTATGTATTGGTATATAAATGTGTGTAATGGATGAAAACCATAGTTTTTTCAATTATATTAAAATTCAAAAATTCGTAGAAGATTAGTTCAGCCCGCGGTTAACCCTTCGAAGAATTATAAGTGAATTTAACTTGCAGTCATCATGCTGAAATTTGGTTTGTCATAAAGAACAATTTTCTGTTGTGAAACTATTTCTTTCCAATAAATAGATAATCAATGAAGATTACAAAATTTATTGATGAACAAATGATGAAAATGTTTCCTTGTAAGTGCTAGTATTATTATCAGTATTACAAATAAAATTTGAATAATTTAAATGATTATACTCTGATTTTTTTAACACATGACATATTTTAAAGCACTATTGTCTGCCTATGTTTGGCAAATTAAATGCCTTACCTTCTGGACACTACTTGTATTAATATGTACTACTTAATTGTGAAGATAGCAAATTACTTATTACCTTGTATTTCAACGAGATTTGAAGATAGTTCATTATTAATTTTAATTTATTAATAATTATATCAGCAAAAATAATATTTAAATTTAAGAATGGAAGATAAATTAGTTTATTTAAATACAAATGGGCAATGGCTAATATAAATAATTAATTGTATTTTAAATACTAAAAGAATTGAACAAAAAAATGACTAAAATAAAAATAATAAAATAAAAAGAAATAGCCACTGAGAGTACGTTCAGAAAACCAAAAACACCTCAATAGAACGCAACACATGCTAAGAAATAAGTAGTGCTCGAATATGGACAGAGTCGCTATCTATTGGTTGCATCTCGAAGTTCTTATAGAATCTGTAGTTATAGATTTCATAAATTTTCCTTTATGCAACGGTGTACGGCCTGTGGAATCTATAAATTTTATTGAATCCATAGCTATGGAACTAATATGGAAAGCTTTATGCAACTAGCCCATAGAGTTACCATGCAGCTTAAGACGTCTATGAAGTTCTTTCTTTATTGTGCTATGTTCAACTGTTTTGTCTTGAAGAGTTAAGTTGAGTGATTAGTAGCTTGCTTATTACCTCAGATTCCTTCATGAGACGGAATATATGAAAGAAATATGTCTATTTTCTTATACGCCAAATTATTGTCAACATTGATAATGTCTTTTATAATTCATCAATTTTTACTTAAACTACATAGACGATTTACACTCCATGAAGCAGTAAAGATAATACATTTATCATCTTCATTTTATTTTCCCATATACATACGTACATACGGAGTAATATATGCAGTATCAGGAATGTTGTAATTTTGTGGAATATAGATTTCGAGATTTCAACAAAAATACACGTTTTGGGGTCCCCTGATACCAAAAAAAAGTGGTTATTTTCAAAACGTCCGTGTGTCCGTCCGTCTGGGAACAGTACTAGCCCCTAAACCATATGAATTTGTTCCGATTTGAAGAAACCCCTGTCTATCTGGATAGAGACGAAGCTTTAAGATTTTGAAAAAAGTTATATAAAATTGGGGGGGGGGGTACTTTACAAAAAGTCCTCAGGACAATTTCAAAATTTTCTAATCCGCTCCAAATTTTTTGTATAAATTTCTTTCAGGAATGGAATAACATACACTTATAAAGTGGCATAGGTCCGATTTTCACGGATAATTAGGAATTTTCGAAAATTTCAAAAGTATTATTTTTCGGTGTCTTCCTTCAACTACAAAATTAAAGATAAAGATTTTTTCGTCAATGTATTTATAGGCTTCCGCGGCCGGAGTCATTGGATACCCGGCTGTCCGGGATGAGCCGCGTCTCAGTCAATCGAGAGAATTATGAAGAAGGCCATAACACGATGGCCGACACGTTAGCTCGATCGTCTGAGACGTGGCTCATCCCGGACAATCAAGAACCCAATTTGTCCTTCAAATGAAATTTATTGTCCATAATTACTTCTTTTATTAAGGTCATGTACATTTTAATCAGTAGTTTTAGGGAAATGTTTGCAATTTTCAAAAATAACAATAACAAAATTTTCTTAAAAACAGCTCCAAATTCTCGCTTGAAATTTTTTTTTCAAAAACCGCTTCAATTTTTATGTTTAAATTTTCTTCACTTTTGCAATAAAGAACGCTAAAAATATAAAGCAGCTATAGCTCAATTTTTTTCTAAATCTCCATAAGAACGATTACATTTCAAAACCACGAAGACTAGATTTTTGTTTTTGCCTCATTATTTTCCCAGATATTCTCTTTGATTCGCAAAAAGGAGATTTTTTCACATTTTCTAGATTTTTCAGCTACCTAATGTTAGAACTGAAACCACCATACACTTATTACTATTATATAACTGTTAACCTCATATAGGGGAAGTATGGACATAACGGATACACATAACGGCTAATATAATTTTTGATCTCAAATTCAATTGATCTAAAAACTTCAACAAAATCATAGCATACACTCATTAAACATCTTAGTGTATATATG